AGAACAGGTGAGGCATCTGAGAGTAGTCCACCTACAAAGACTACTTGCGTTCTGTCGGATAGGTAGTCTCTAATCCACTCTAGCGCTGCACCACACACACACCGAAAACTTTGGAAAGTTTAGCAAGTAATGCACAGTGCCACACGGTGTCGAAAGCTTTCTCGAGGTCGAAAAAGCATATGGCAACTTTCCGCCCCATATGACGATGGTCGGCAATGTTTTGGATCAGCTTGGTGAGCTGTAGAGTGGTCGAGTCACCACGACGAGACCCAGATTGCGCGGGATCCAGAGCAGGAGAAATATGATTATATAATTGATTGAAGAAGAGCCGTTCGCAAAGTTTGGAAATACAGGACAGGAGGGAAATTGGGCAGAGGTTAAATAGGTGGCTAAGTGGAAATGAAATCGCAAGAGCTAGTTTCTTTCTTGAAGGAATGCGCAATGGAACTTGTAAAGACACTATCTCAGCTCTTTGCTTCCAACACGGAGTTCTACCTGGAAAAATCTTCCACGAGCGGCGTAAGATTTGGGTCATAAAGGGTACATGTGATCAAGCAACGAGATGCTATATCCCGAAATCCCATTTGCCACATCTCAAAAGAACTACGACAAAAACGCCTTTTTACTGTACATTCACAACATGACTTACAGTTCTTCTAATTTGGTTGTGGCTTTGAACAGCCCATCAGGTAGGTGAACAAGTTGATTAGACGTCAAGTATCTGGGAGAACAAAGTAGAATTTGGATAGGATGTATGGTCCTGGAAGAATATTGCGTGCTAGTTTGTAGGTGGAGTGTGTGGATTACAGTGAGGGCTGCGTCCCACCCGCCTGTATAGATTCACACAAAGTGTGAGTTACGAAGTCTGAATAAAATGTTGAACGGTTTCTGCTGGGATGACCACTACACCATAGCTCAGTGGTTACAGCATCGCTGGCTACAAGCGAGGGTCCCTGGTTCGAGTCTTGGTGGAGTCAGGCAATTTGTTCTTCAGACTGCTCCTGCTGCCATTGCCGTCGTTGCCGATCTTGTCACTCTTCTAGTTGATGCGGTTCCTGTCACTGCCACGCCAGTAAGTGTCTTGTCCGGTTGTTTTTCCGGTGGTCTTGTTAATTGTGATGTGACGTTGCTTGGTGTTGATGCTGCTGCGTTAGATCATCTTGTACCAGGATGATTCTTTGCTGGACGTCTCCTGTTGTCGGATGCGTGCGTCCAGATGTTGACAAGATCGGCAACGATGGTGATGGCAGTCTAAAGCACTGACATCAACGCCAAGCAACAGCAAAGATCGGCACTGACGGCAATGGCAGCGGCTCAAGCACTGACAGCGGCAATGGCTAGGGTCCACACGACTAGCCATTTGGTATCGGATGTGTCCACCGCACAGGCTGATTATTCTGATGTTAGTTCTGATAAGTATGAGTCGTCCATTGCTAGTCATTTGTTTGAGCATCCTGATTGTTGTGTTGTGTATTCAGATGATTTTGTTCGATTGTGTCATGTGTACGCAGTGCTAGATTGTTTTGAAGCCGTATACATCCACACAAAGAAACCCAACCTTTGCAAGCAAGCATAAGCAAATTAAATTCACACTTAGGCTGTTAGGTAGGTTGTCAAAACCTCGTTAGTTATGTCCAGTGATTGTCTCTTGTTGTCGCACTACAAGTCACGCTGATTGAATTTTCTCGCACTTGCACCTTTGTGTCATTATTGGTATGTGTATTGGTCACGCATTTTCGCTGTTTACTTTAGCTATCTTCTTCTTTGCGCTGCTTGACCACCTCCTTACCGTACTTAATTCAGTGTTCCTTTTCCTTTGCCTTTGTTTCATCTGATGAGAAGGCTTGAAAGTATACTTGTGAAACCAAAACTTTCAAGATTTTCGTAAAGAGCCTGAAGTGTGCCCTTTTTACGAGTATTGTCGCATTCTTGTCTCAGAGGAAACTGTCTATATAAGCAGTAAAACAATAAGTTATGATTTTAAATAGTTACTCGGATGATGAGCCAATTTAATTATGGTAAAAGAGGAAAAGGACAACCTGTTACGAGTTATGACTAGGGACCATAGGGCTTGAAAGTGATGACGTCAAAACGGCCAGGGAGTAGTAAGTTGACATCAGATTTCTATTTTTGGATCCACTAAGGTGTGACTTTGCTATTGCCTAAGTATGTGGGTGCATAGCAACTAGTGTTTAAACCGAACACGGATTCTTCGAACGAATAATCTATCGAATAATTTCGCCCTCCATCGAACGAATAATCTACATTCTATCATACGCATGATGGCATTTTTCAACACTTTTCAGCACTTTTTAAGTAGTTTTTTTTTTAAATTTGCTGATTATCGGATTTTGTTATGTGGAGGTGCCAACAGTACATAACCCCCCAGAGTGTGCAACGCCTGATCCAGCTCTGCATAGGGTCTTGGTCGAAAGTGGTCAAAGACCGAAAATCACATTCACTGCATCCATGTTTCCCTCGTATGGAAAGAACAGAAGTACAATGTACATGTATTACTAGATACCGATAGGAGATTAAACCTCGGAGGAGAAGAGATTGAGAAGAAATACTGCGAGCAGATCTACGCAGTGCAAATATCAGTAGGGTCAGCACTGAGCAAAGATCGTGTTTTTTTCGATTTCTGATAATTCCTACGACTATTCGATAGCAATACACGAAAGTGACCATGTCAGTGTTTTCCAGAAAATACTGTCACCTAAGTTGCGCGGTGAAATCCGGCCCGAAGTGCAAAGCCGGCGCCACGAATTGGCGCGAAGCCAGCTCCCATTACATCACTGGCGATTTGTGTGTATGAACTCAACGGTACGCACCTCGCGTAAAAGTTCGGAGTGCACGTGTTGCATACTAAAAACAGTTCAAAATTTCTTTCATTGACTTCACTCAAGCACAGCAGGATCTTCTCGATAGAGGAGTACCCAACATCCTGTTTCAACCTCCCTGTTCGCCGGACATTGGTTGGTTGGTTGGATTTATTTAAAGTCGAACTTATATGAAGATCACTTCTGGCAGTAAAACATTTTAAAGAAACGAGAAAGGAAAAAAGAAGAATATAAGATCAAGAATGTATAGACTGAGCATACAGCTAGCCGGAGACTGAGCATACAGCTAGCCTCGGTATGTATCAGAGCATCAGGATTACTACATACTAGTATTCAAGACAGGGAAGGGGGCTTGCTGTCACGCTACAGTAAGACAATACGCGTGCAACACACCCTTGAACTGGAGGGGGGGGGGGGGGGCGGATGTTTCTCGCATCAGGTGGAAGACTGTTCCAAACGCGTGCAGCAGAAAGAGACACGGGATGAATTCTGGATGGAAGCTGCAGCAGATGTTGTTGGGAGCCGGGCGTTTGGCCAGCCCTAGTCGGAATGACGAAATCTCCAAATAATGCGCTGATCAGCGGCTGCTCCATGGTGGAAAGTAGGCACCGGTACCGGTAGACCAGCGAGCACACTGTCTCACGCAAGAGCTGGTGTACACGAAGCAGGTTGTGTTCCGCATACACGGGAGTCATACGTGTACGGGGTCAGGTTGTACACGACATGAATCCAATCGGGAATGTGTGGGCTCTTCTCAAGATTTGACAAGAAGAGAATAATTCCACATCGCTGCGAGAATGCTGACCAGCTGGTGCAGGCACTGCACCTGGAGTGGGACTTGTTGGCTCCTGACACGGTTTCCCCATACGTGGAGTCAATGTCACGTCGTGTTGAAGCCCTAATCGAAGCAGACTGCTGTTCTGTGTATGAAATAAACTGCTTCGAAATGATCTCCGTCTTCTTTACTTGTGCTGAACTGAAATGAATGTTACACTTGTCTTTGTTTGGTGCGGTTTTTACACTTTGATGTAAGCATGCATGCGTATGAGTACAGCACATGCACAGTTCATATGGCACACGCGCAACTGTAGATCACCAGTGTTGAAATATTTTATTCTCACCGTATGGTGTGACTGTTGTAGAGTAATGACCATCCAGCACTGGTGTTGATCTCTGGGCCTTCGTTTCTGATCACCACTGCCTCCCACAATTTGCGGCTTGCCCTGTCACTGGACCTTGCAATCACAGACACTGCTGAGAAGATGCTGTCCCTGACACTCAGGTTGATCCCTGCTTGCTTAGCTCACAGGTGGTCACCCCATGGCTTCTCCACAGTGCGCCACGAGCTTCAACATTGTGTTCCTCCAGTCTCGTCTCCAGTGTGTGACCCGTCTCTCCGATGTATTTTACCCTGCACAACTTGCATTGCAGACAGTATATCACATTCTTCCTCAAACATATTTTCACTCCACCCGACTTACAAGTTAGACATGGTCCCATTGGGCATCCTCTTCTCTTTGTCTTTCTGATGTTTGGCTCCTAAATGCAGCAGGGCGGACTTTGTGCTGAGTGACAGAGCTGACATTTGAGGCTACCCGCATGCTCGTAAACCACCCGGACTGGTAGCTTGTGCTTCCGGATAGCTTTGCTGACGCTGTGATGCACCCTGTCCGACTTATATGACAGCTTCAGAAACGCACAACATGGATTACCTCGGCGGCGACGCTTGGGTTTCCTTGCTGCTTCTCGGGCATTAACCTTTTATGTACCGCGCCCATCTCGAACCGTAAAAATATAATTACCGTTCGGCGCGCCGCACTTGAACCCGCCGGTCGGCGGCGTCCTTTCTCTGATTGACTCGCGGTTTTTGCAGTGGACAGCTGAGATCCCACTGAACATTTTGATGTATGATATGGGTAGGTCGCCATTTGAAAGTATGGAGACCGATCGCGGCGAAAAGTGCGCTTGGCAAATGCAGCGCTCTGCGATATATCGTCAGGCGAGATTACTGGTCAGTCGGCGACACGCATTTTTCACAAAAATTTGCGTTTCACCTGCTGGGAGAGTATGCGTGTACTCGAGTCTCATCCTGAGCACGTTTTTTCTTTCTTTTTTTCAGCTCCAGTATAGCTGTATTTTTCATTGCAAAGCCCTCCTCGATTGATGTGTTCGTTGTTCAAACGAAGTGGACATTCAATCATGAAGGCAGAGGACATAGGAGCCTGATTGGAGTTTCTCGTGGCATAGGACGGCCACACAGAGACACTTTGGGATTTTCTGAATATAAAATACCGTACGCACGATGCTGAGATCAATTTGTGCGATATCAAATTGTTTGTGATCTACCACATCGAGCAGAACGGGATCCAAACACAAGCTTACCGACGGTTAGGCTGCCGACCTGACTGGACAAATGATCCCTGGCTTCACCAGACGCCAGAAGTCGGACACCATGTCCTTTGCCGCGACGTCCATCTCCAAAAAGAACTCCATCTTCGTCGTGAAAAGGCTTGAAATACTCAATATTCAACTGAGATTCGCGGTCTCACCCTTTCTCAGATCGAATTATTTTTTGTTGTAGCAGTTGCAGGGCAGATCCCTGCCACTACTTCAACAGAAGATGGCTCCAAAGCATGCCTGGAACAAGCCATATCGAGGTTGCAAGCCACCCCTCTCAGCACTTTTTTTGAATAAATTCGAAATTTCAGTGGTGGAAGATATACTATGAAGAGAATTTCAAAAAGTATGTTTCGCGGAGCGATCGCTCAACCTACGTCATTCAAACTTTGCAGGATGGTTCAGACGTACATGCTAGGCATAGACGGGTTGCCAAAGTCGCCTCCGGGGATCCGTTCCCGAGGTGGCTCTGGAGAACACGGAT